ATAGGGAAATCCAGAGATAGAATGTAGATTGGCGGCTGCCAGGGGCTGGTAGGAAGAAGAATGAGTGACTATTGATGGGTATGGGTTTCCTTTTGGGGTGACGAAAATGTTCTAGAACTATACAGGTGGTGGTTGCACAACACTATGAATGTGCTAAATGCCACCGAGGTATTCACTCTAAAATGGTCTGTTACATACTATGTGACTTTCACCTCAATTAAAAAAATTTGGGGGGGGGGCACCTGGGTGGCTCAGTTACTTAGGTGTCTGACTCTTGGTTTTGGCTCAGGTCATGATCTCATGGTCTTGACATTGAGCCCTGAGTCAGGCTCTGCGCTGACAGTGGGGAGGTTGCTTGGGATTCTCTCTCTCCCTCTCTCTGCCCCTCCACTGCATGTGTGCGTGCACTCTCTCTCTCTCTCTCTCTCCCAAAATAAATAAACATTATTATTATTTTTTTTAAGGCAGAGCTTAAAAGTTCTGGCAACTCCAGAAAAACCAAGGGGCTGGAAAGCAGTGAGTCAGCGGCAAGGGAGCAGGAGAGAGTCAGAGGCCTCCCCTGCCCCTCCTGTTACAGCCTGGTTAGCACTTGTCCCAGAGCTCTTGTTCGTTGACTTAGAGAAGGCTCACCTCAGCTTAAAAGGCCGGGGCATGCCTGCTCAGGACAGGGCCTGACAGCTGCCCCAGGGAGAGGATCCCAGTTTTGGGGAAGAACAAGTCTAGGGTGAGGCACTGGAGGTCAGAGCAAGCAGAAGAGCTGATACGGCCAGGAGGTCTCCAAGGCACACCTCCCGAGCAAGGGTCTACCCAAGGCTGGTGATCAGGGAGGGAGGGGACGCACTAAGATTTTGTTGGGGAAAATGTACTTGTGCAGCCAGATGACAGCGAGACCTGTAGGAAGTCTGGGGAAGCGCAGGTGAGGACAACTGTGGGCTGAATCAGGGCCCTGGCAAGTGGGGAGGGCCAGGCTGTGGAGGACACTGGAGCTGGGAAGCCAGGGGTGGGGGGGGGAAGGGGGTCGATTCCTCTGTGTCCTGGTGGAGGGCCCACGTTGAGGGGCAGAAAGGCAGGCCAAGCTTGACTTCAGGCTGCAGACAGAAGAGGAGGGACAGAGGAGGAATGGGCAGAGAGGTAAGAGGGAGACCAGGGAGGCTGAGGCAGCTGGGGCAGAGGGTGAAGGTAGAAGGGTAGGATCGGGGGGCACCCAGCACAGCCCATCAGTCCCCTGGTGACTGCAGGAAGCTGGGCCTCCTGAGATTAGGGAGAGGCAGGGAGGCCTGAGAAGATGTGGGTCCGGGGAAGGAAAGTGGACAGGAAGGCACACACGGACACACACATGAACATGAAAACACAAGATACAGATATGCGCACGGGCACACGCAGACATAAAAAGCTGCCATTCCACAGACAAAAGCAGACATATAGAAACCAGTACCACAAGTGCTCAGACGTGCACATACAGTCACAGATGCACGCTCCAGCCACGCCTACGTGGGGCACACGCAGAAATGGAGCCAGGCACGCAGCTGATGTTCATATGTAACTGGATGTACGTTTGGCCATAGACAGAGGCACAGGTACACACTCGAATACACTGACATGGACACAAGTGTGGACAGACAGACACACTTTCTGGCAAAAATAGGCTTATCTGCAGAGATGCACACAGAGGTCTGCACTGACCGCAAGTACAGCCCTGTACATGCACACCCACACAGAAGACACCCATGCAGCACACACATCTACACGGCATCATGACCAACCATTCTACACAAAAGAAGCTCTGTGCACCCCTATTCGAGGCATCCGTGGCTCTAGAACCCCGGCACCAGAGCCCGCCTGGGAAAGTGAGACACAAACCGCGGCCATTGCGCAACACACCTACTGGGCCCAGCTCAAGGTCAGGGAGGAGCCAGGACCAGTCCTCTCGTGCCTGCCCACGCACTCACTGCCATCGGCGGCAGACACCAGCCACCGACAACGGCCAGCCACCGACGTAGACAGCTGGGATTGCAAGGGATCTTGCAAAATCATCCCCATCCCTCAGGGTTCAGCTAAAGTGTCCCTTCCCCCACGGAACCTCTCCAGGCTGTGGCCACTGTTAGCCTTTTTGAATTCTGGTTTTTGCCGTGCCCAGCTCTGTGACCTTGGGCAAGTCACTCCACCTCTCGGTGCTTTGTTTCCCCCTACGTAGAGCGGAAGGTAATGAGAACGTGTGTTGAGTACATGAGCACATCCCTTCCCACCTCTTGCACAGATGGGAGAAGCAGCTTCCCAGTACTCACAGTCAGCTGGCTGTAGAGGGGGCTGCCCTCCTGCCTCCTGCTTGGTTCCTTCCCACCAGATGGGATCTTGGGGCCAGGTGGAACATCGAGAGGGTGTGGGTGTATTCTCCTTTCTACACAAAACCAAGAAGCCAGCTTTGGAGCAACTTGGCAATAAGCACGGGACCATACAGCCCTGCCTGGCAGGGGTAAGGGACGACTTTAAACCCTGAGTTTCTGCTCAAATAACTTCAAAGAGGACTTACAAGATCATTTCCTCTGCATGGGCATGCAAAATCAGAAAGGGTGGAAATGAGCCACTGACTCTCCCCGCCTGAGGTTTCCTCATCTCCTGTCCCCACCCACCCAAGAGCCCCCCACCTAGGTTCACATCCTCCCAGCAGATGTCAGACACTGGGCTGGCAGTCAGAGGGCTAAGAGCACCTTCCTACTCCCCAGGGGACTGTGGGTACGGTTTCCCCAGACACAGGCTACCATCTTTATGAGGATGAGCACTCAGGCTCCGCAGTCTGGGGCCTTGACCCTTGAACTCAGGAATGGCTGTGCTGATGTGGACAGGTGGACTGGGGCTCCCAGGGTTGGAAGGACAAAGATGTGGACTGTGTGCCAGTGAGCACACCCCAACCTCAGTTCTGAATGACCCAAGCTGTGCTCAACTCCAGGCTGGGTTGACCATACTGACTTCCTTTGTTCTAGAACTCTTCAGGGGCCTGGGTGGGACCAAGAGGTGATTCTGGGAGCCCCCCACCTCATCTTGGGACAGCTTAAGGCCTGTCTATCTAATGGTACCCAGAGCATCAGCCACATGTGAGGTCCAGAGTCATGTTCCCTCTCAGCTGAGTGTGCCCCAGTCACCTCCCAAGCCCTGTGCCCTGACCCCAGGTGGGTCCTGGTCTTCCTGGCAATCTCAGAGCAGATCTCCCCATTTGTAACCTTCTGAAGGCCAAGCTGACTCAGTGAGCCCCAAGGACTCTAATGCCCTGGGAGCTAAGCCCCTCCACACAGACTCACACATATGTGGCAAAGAGACACACGTGAGCTCTAGACCTGGGTCCAAGTCAGACTAGCCCACTGGGGCATGCCGGTGGCCCCCCTACCTGTGGGCAGCATGCCAAGAACTAACCAATGCCAGGTTAAGACCTGGTCTGAGGGACTGGGCAAACCCTGATGCCATCTGGAAAGCCGGGATGACAGAAACATCCAAATCAGCCCATGACTCACAGGGACTCATAAGCAGACAGATGGACAGAGTCCCCAGAGCTGAACATGGGGCCCAGGAGCTCTCTACCTGCAGGTCAGGAGCCCTAAGGATTCTGGTGTTAAAGCCCCCACTCAGCCCAAGACATCCCTTGAACCAGGGCCCAGGGTGGGCCCTCCAGAGAGAAGCCAGAACTCCCCAATTTCCCCCCAAGTCAAACTACAAAGCAATGCCAGCTTCCCAGGGCCAAGAAGAATAGGGATCCTGAAGGAGCTGCCTCCTAGATCTTGATACACATGAGGAAACAGAGGCTGAGGGGAAGGAGATGGTCTAGGGTCCCCGACCGCTCACTCACCAGGTTGGGCTGTGCTCTCTGCTCCTTGATCTGTAGGCCCTGGGTCCCAGGGGTAGGGTGGGCACACTGCCAGAGGCCTGGCCCCCGTTCTGGCTTTTCTGGGGAGCCACTGCAACCTCTGAATACGCCGAAGTCACACCCTTCTTCCTTTCCTGAATGTGGGCGGGTCTGGGCTGAGGGTACCTGATAACCTCCCCAGCACATCTGTAGGGCCCCATCTGGCCACAGTGGAATCCCAGTCTTGTGGAGCAGGGAGGCAGCCCCTCTGTGACAGGAAACCCGGGCCCACATGTGCTGAGCCTCTGGCCCAGGAAGGCAGCCTTTGAAGGCACATTGGGTTCCAGGTGGCCTCCAGGCCCCAGTCCTCTCCTTCTGGCCAGGGGAAGCCCAGTGTGTGGACTCCCAGGTCCCCACTCTGGCTGGCCCCCCTCCTACCACTACTCCAGGAGAGCCCTGGTGACAAGAACTAACTGATTTTTTGGTCAACAGGGACTCCTGTGTGGGACCTCCAGGACTCAGGCGTGGTCTAAAAGCAAGCAAGCAGCAGTCTAGAAGAAAGGTGCTTTTGGGCCCACCTTGGGGTGGCAGGGAAGGCTGGAGGACTTCCAGGTGGGATGGTCTGGGAATCTCTAACCATGTTCAGAACCTTCTGGACTATTGCAAAACAGCAAGAAAGGAAGAAAGAGTGGGGCGCCTGGGTGGCTCAGTTGGTTAAGCGTCCGACTTCAGCTCAGGTCATGATCTCACACTCTGTGAGTTCGAGCCCCATGTCGGACTCTGTGCTGACAGCTCAGAGCCTGGAGCCTGCTTCAGACTCTGTGTCTCCCCCTCTCTCTGCCCCTCCCCTGCTCATGCACTGTCTCAAAAATAAATAAAAACATTAAGGAAGGAAGGAAGGAAGGAAGGAAGGAAGGAAGGAAGGAAGGAAGGAAGGAAGAGGCTGGGCTTCAGAGGCAGGTAGCCTTGGATGGGAATCAGGTGAACTTGGCTAAGTCACATCACCTCTCAAGGCTTCGGTTCTCCCCGAGGCGAGAACTGAGTCAGGTGAGCCCAGCCAGAGCCAGCGACACAGGGAAGACCAGGACCTCAGGCAGAGGGGCTGGAAGGAGCAGCAGAGTAGCCATGGCTGAGCTCAAACAACCCCCATGGACCACAGCCCAACCCTTTATAACTATAAGCCTTTATTAATAAGTCAATAAAAAAGGGAGAAAGATGTAAAAATACTTTTCTTGGAGGCCCCGGGAGGGGCAGGCACTGTCAGAACTCACCTGGCCAGGGAAGGTGACCCAGCCAGAAGCAGAATGGAGACCAGGGCCCTGTCCAAGGGAGCAGCTGGCTCAGGGCACTGAGAGGGGGGATGTCTTGGGCCTCAGGCAGGGAATGTGCAAACACTGAGGCCGAGCAGGGAGTGAGGGGTGAGGGCTTCCTGGAGGAAGCCCAGAGCACCGTGTTCCCCTGCGTGGGCAGACACGCGTGTCCACGTGAGAGCCGGTGCCTGCACGCAGCTTACATACAGAGAGCAGAAGGAGGGGTCCCCCAGCAGGAATGGGGGTGGGGAGGACTCATCCCAGAGCTTGAGGAAATAGCTTAGAGAAGTCTCTGGAAGCCTGGGGTGAGGGGACAGCATGGAGGCCTCAGGAGCCCTGGCCGTCCTGCCGTCGTTGGAGGACCTCAATGGCGCTGCCGATGCCATCCTCAGGCACCTGCGGGCAGGTGGACGGAGAGAGGGGTCAGGGCCATGCTGACTTCCTGGCCCAGATGGACTACATCCTGTACCCTCACCACTCTCCTGGGCCTCAGTGTCTTTCCAGGAGCCCAACCCATGGTGCTTACCAGGGCATGGTCAAAGTTGAAGGTGCTGATGTAGTAGGCAGAGATGTCGGCCGCAGCCAGGGGGCCTGCGATCTGAGCCACGATTCCACACTCATCTGAGGGTTATGGGGGAGGGGGGTGCATGTGGATCATCCTGGTTGCCCCCCTCCCCAGATTCCCCCCAAGTCCCCAGCCCACCAGGAGCAGCCCTTACCAAAGCCCAGGGGCTGTCCACCGATGCGCACCATCCTCCACAGCTCCCCCGAGGAGCTGGTCAGCAGGAGGTCACTGGGGAACCTGGAGAGGCAGGCAGGCAGTGGGCAGGGCACCCACCTGTCCCCTCCCTACCCCAATGTGAGCCCCTGGGAGCAGGTTGACCTGGTGACCTCAGAGTCTGATGCTCCACCTCCTCCTCCCTCCCTAGGACTGGCTTAGGATCTATGGTCCACTAGGGGTCAGGAGTCACATACTTTTTCTGTGTCTCAGCATCCATGACGATGGAGATGTAGCCCTCGATGAGGGAGAAGGCAAAGAATGTAATAGAGCTGGGTCCAGGACCACCAGAGGCTGCCTCCTTGGGGGCACTGGGAAGGGACAGAAGGCTCAAGTGCTCTTCAGGGCACCCGGCCCACTGCATCTCCTCCTATCTCTGGGCCACTCTCCTCCTCTGTCCAAGGGCCCTGATCTCCTGATGGTGTCAGGTGGAGGTGGGGGAGGACAATAAATCTCGCCTGTTCCAAAGACACTGGACCCCAGGGCTGGCAGAGGACCAGACCAAGGCATGGCTCGGGGTTGTCTGTTCACAATACAGGAAAGGGTTGCAGCTGTGGCATCGAGATCTTCCCTGAACATCAGTGAGGGGCACACGGGTATCACAGGCTGCCAGGAACCCAAGACATAGAACAGGGCACAGAGCTGCAGAACTGAGGGACAAGCGGAAGGTAGTGGAACACAGGATAGGGAACAATGGTGTGAAAAGAGAAACAAAGTGCAAACAAGGCCCACCTGTATGAGTAGAAGAGAACATCGATGAGGGTGGTAGCAATGGCTGGCAGTGTCTCAGGGTCCAGCGTAAGGACACAGAAGCGGTTCTGTGGGCTCTGGATGGGATGCACAGTGGGGCTGGGTCCTGCTAGGAGGGACCAGGCAGCAGCCGGTGTTAAGGAGATTGTGGGTTGGGGTGCCCCCTGGTGGCCAGATAGGGTCATCTGGGTGGGGTGTAGGGTCATGCTCTACAGGAACCCACCTCTTTCCTCCACATTTCCCTGTCTTGTGAGGCAGTCAGTATCAGCTGGTATCCCCATGCCCGCAGACCAATCCTCACAAGGGAAGGGTCCCAGTGGGAAAAGGAGGCCCTGCCTAGGTCTGGGTGTCAGAGGGTAACCTCACCATGCTGAGAACGGGGAAAGCCATTGCTGGAATCATCCCTGGCAACAGGCACAGGCTCCCCGCCCACTTCTCGGTAAATGTTGAACTCCTGGGATAGTGTGTGGATCACCACAGACAGGTCCTGTTCCCGCACCTGGACCACAGGGAGATGATATATCACATGAGCCCCCAGGCACCCATACCCACCCTGCCCTGCAATGGAGCTTGCAGAAAACTCACCAGGATGAAGTCCGTCTGGTAAGTAGACAGCATCAGCACAGACACATGGTGCTCGGCCAGTGGTGCAATGACTGAGCGCGCGATTTTGGTGACCCCAGCAGCCTGCACTGCTGCACCACTGTGGGATGACACGTTCAGCACCAGCCATGTGGCCTCAGCCACTTGAAGGAACTCAGATGGGGGTAGTTCTGTGAGCAGGAAGTATACACCATGTCAGGACCTACTGGGCTGTCCCCTGCCGCTCAGTTTCCCTGTCTATGCCTTGGCAGGGGTGGAGAGGGGGGAGGTGGGGCGTGCTCTACCAAGGTAGGAGCAGGTCTGGAGACTGGGGCTGTCTCCCTCTCCTAAGTTCTGCTCCTGAGAATTGCATGTATGTAAGGACTGAGAAGTTCTTCAGGTGCTGGCCTGCCAGGGATCCAAACTTTCCAGTTAAGACTGGAACTCCAGATTTAGACAGACCTGGGTTTAAATACCAGCTTCACCATTTACTTGCTGTTGACCTGGGGCAAATGATTTAACTTCTCTGAATCTCAGTTTCCTCATCTGTAAAATGGGATGACAGCATTATGTCTCATGATGGCATTCTTTGGGTGAACAGAGGTTTTATACCACCTGGCACCACCAGGGGGCGCCAGCAGATCAGGTTGACAGAGAGATGCCCTTCTCCCTTAGCAGACCCAGACTTTCCCGCATTACAAACAGGGAAACTAAGGCCTGGAAGGGTCCAGCGGATGGGCCAAGCCACAGTTTCATGGCCTGAGACTCCAGACCTGTGAGGACGGGTCAGGCTGGCAGGAGTAGGAGCCAGATATCAGCTCCAGAGACCAGGGAGGGAGGAACCAGGCTGGCGTCCAGTCCGGAGCAGAAGCTGGGGCCAAGGTGTCTGCTAATCTCCCAACCGCAGCCAGGAGGCCCCCAGGACCCTGCCCTGGACTGGCTGCCTGCTCCTGCATTCCTTTCCCAGCCCTCAGACTCCTGGAGTTCCCAGACCAGTCAGGGAGGGGATGATCCGCACCAGGGAGATAAGTCTAGCGTGAAATAATGGCCAGGGGGATATAAATGCCTCAGGAACACCCCGATTCTTGCTCTGAACTGTAACTGAAGCCCTGCTACTGGCCTGAGGCTGCCAAGTGCCTTTCAAACCCCTGTCTATAAAGTTCTCATGGGATTCTATTAAGCAAGAACCATAACTATACCCATTTTACATAAGAGGAAACAAACAGCTCAGAGAGAGGAAGCGACTTGCTCAAGGGCACACAGCCAGTGAGTGGCGGAGTCAAATTCGCATCCAGATCTTGGGACTCTGGATTCCAGCATCTAGTGAGAATCCCACAAAGAGGGGAGCACAACATCCTTCCCCAGCCCCCACCTTTGAAGCCCTCCTCGTCCACCATGAGCGTGTAATCCTCGGGGGTCTCCGTCAGGCTGAAGAACTTGCACCTGGATGGGGGTGGGGGGCATCTTCAGCCTGGGTTGAGCGGAGGGGGCGAGCAGACTTCACTTCAAGCGCCTGGAAAGACCCCTGCTTGCCCCCTCAAGCCCCAATTTTCTTCCCGGGCCAGGGGAGTGTGGGCCTCATCACCGGAATCACAAACTGTTTTTCGCCTCCCGACCTCCGCAGAATCTCCGGACCCTCCCTTCCGGAAGGGGAGGCTCACCCGCGGCGACACCCCCGGGGGCGTCGGACTTTGGGCCCCCTAGATCGGTCCCTCTGACCCGATGGGAGGCATCTGGAAAAAGCTCCCCATAGTCGCCAGGAAGGAACTGCGTCCATTTGACACCACTCGGAGTTAAGCATTGCCCACCCCGGGTTGTTTGCGCCTTAACTAGCTCTGGGAGGGGGCCTCACGGGGCCGGATAGGCGGCGGTCCCAGGGAGGTAGGCCCAAGCCGGATGGAGGCCGGGACGGGGGGGGGGGCCGGCGCAGGGGGGGGGGGGGGGGGGGGGGGTAGAGAGGAGAAGGGCCCTCCCCGCCCGCTCCCGCTTGCCCCGCGGCTATGTTAATCTCCCGACCCCGTCCCGGAACAACAGCGAAGCCCACCCCCATCTATGCCTCCGAACCCGGGCGCGCACCGGCTGCGGCGGGGTAGGAAGAGTAGCTTGATGAGCGGGTGGGTGTAGAGCCAGAGACCTGGGCGGGCGAGGCTCAGCACCCGCACCCGGTGCTCTAGGATGTGCAGCTCCATCACGGTCCGCGCGGACCCGACCGGGTCGCCAACCAGACCCAGACCGCCGCGGGGGGCGGGGCGGTGGGGGCGGTGCCGGGGGCTTAAAGGAGCCGCTCTGCAGCCGCTTCCACGCCGCCCGCTAAGCCGTGGATCTTCCTAGCCCCATGCCGTGTCCACCTCCCTGACGGCCACGCCCTCAGGAATGAGCGGCCTATCTGGAGTGGCCACGCCTCCTTTTTGAGGCCAGAGCCTCTTCCCTCGTGTTCCAGCCCGCCGAGCTCCGCCCCCGATGACTCCGCCCCTTCAGCGTTGGCTGGAGATTTTAGGCTGATCCCGCCCCATTGAGTCCTCCAGGCCCCGCCTATGCCGCGCCCCCTCAGCCGGCTTTTCCGCAGGCCTCCTGCCTTGCTGGGGTCGGGAGCATGGGGGAGGTGTGGAATAGGTTTTTGTCCTTTGGGTCCCCATATGGGTCTTATGATTGATATCCTTGAGGCTCCGAAGGGCCGTGAGGCGAACCAGGGCTCAGCTGGGACCAGAGTGTCGCCTCCAAAACTCTGGAGTATGGAGGGGTATGCTGTAAAGCCCTGGTGACCCTGTGATTCTCTCCCAACGAAGTGTCCTGCTGCCTTTCTCCCTCTTCCTCTTACGGAGGAAGAATGCACTTACTCACGGGGGTCATAGAGATAGGGAGGGCCCCAGCCACTTATGTCTGAGCAACATACTGTAGGGTAGGGTAATGAAGGTGGCCAGGCTTATTTATGGCTTGAGACCCCTCAAGACTAAGCGCTTGGGCCAGGGATGCCCCAGGCTCAGACTTCAGTAGACACTCCCATGCATCTGGGGCTCATGGGTACTCAGATCTCAGACTTGAGACTTGAGCCCTGTTGAGACCTCCCAAAGAGTGAGCCATTAGCAGAACCCAGTTGGCCTGAGCACATGTAAACTTGCTTCATGCCCAGAGAGGCCCTCAGCACTGGCAGATGCCCCAGATCTGAGGCTTGTTAGGACCAACTTGGGCTCATTTCAACATTAGAATGTGTTCTGCTCAGGCTGCCTCAGGTCTAAGAAGACTTCAAAGTCTAAGCAAGCATCAGCATACCTAGGCTGGCTCTGTAGCAAGACAGACAGAGCATGCTCTGGGGGACCTTTGTCTGGCCCAAGCATCCTTAGGCCTCAGATCTGAAGCTTTGAACCAAACAGGTTAAAGCAGGCCTCAGGCCTGACTGGGACCCAGCAGGCCTACACAAGCCTCCTGCCTGCTCAGAAGCCTCTACTGTAGGTGGATGGAAGCTGGGCAGCACCCTCCCTCCCTGGGCTCTCTGGCTCAGGGGGCTCCTGTGGAACACTGCAGCTGCCACATCCTGGCCTGTTCCCTGGAAAGCCAGGGGGAAGGGAGTCCTCAAAACCCCTCATGACAGGTACAGATGGGGTGGGAAACCACAGGGGTGAGGGGTGGGAGGCAGGAAGTGGTAGCCTGCCCTGATAGACTCAGAGGCGCTTGACCTCCCTAGGCCTCAGTATCCCCAGCTGTACCAGGACAAGATGTTCCAGGCCCAGGCCCTGTGATGCCTGAAAGCTCTTAGGGAGGCTCTATTCCTCCCTCTCCCACCCCCTCCCACAATGGCCCAGCCCAGCCCAGCCCAGCTTGATAGCCTGCCAGGAACAGACGCTATTGTTTGACTGGAAAAGCTGCTTCCTCAGCAGAAGGGAGGGCCTTTCCCAGGGACACCCTGTCCTTACCCTCACAGTCATCAGGTTGTGACCATAGTGCCTGCCTGGGCCCTCAATGGCATTGCCAGGTCACCAGGCACGCTGCTCAGGAGAGGTAACTGAGGGACTCTAGGCGCAAATCAATCAGCTTCATCTTTCCCACTCAGCTCCCCTGTTTGCTCATCTGTAAAATGGGGATAATAATAGAGCCTACCTGATCAGCAGGTGATATAACCAGCCCAGCCTGGCACATGCTGAGCACCAGGAAATGACAGGCAGGCTTTTATCAAAGACCCAAACTTCTCCCCTCACCCCTCTACCTAAAGTGGAGGTCTGGACTTAGCATGTAACAGCATTCATGGTCCCCCACCCCTGGCTCCAGCACTCAACCTAAATGAACACTCAGACCCTTACTGGGATCTGAAGTGGTATCCAGGTCAGGCCTTGGTGGAGGAAGGCCCTGAAAAGACCTTCTTAAGGAGCCCCTCCCCGTCAGAGGTGGGTAGATATCAAGGCCTGGGAAGCAGGCCCCTGCTCTGCTCCAGCACTGGGCTCTAGCTCCGGTGAGCCTCATCTATGGCAGCTGGTGGACATGGGGAAGAGTGGATAGGGTGAGAGAAAGTGGGGGCCAGCAACAGGACTGGCCCTGGACTTGGCATCCCCTATGGCAAAATCATTTCTAGAGAGGCCCTGGTGCTGGGCTGGGGCAAGGATGGGGGGGCTCTATAGGGCACAGAGGAGATACTGAGCACAGAGGTAGCTCTCCTTCCCAGTCCCTAGTTGCACAGCAACTCTCTACACAAGCCTGTTTATTTCTGTACAAAATCATTTTTCTATTTTACACAAAGAGCAACCCACCCTTTACCCCACCCTCTCTCCTCACAACAGCACCCCCCAGGAGGAGGGGGCTGTGTGAGGCACCACCCATGGGTCCTCACTTCTGCCTGTCCCAGCTGGGCTGGCCCAAGCTCCACTCTGGAGAAAATAAATAAGGAGGCTCAGGCAGAATCTGTGCTGGGCCAGCCAGACTCTCTGCCACCCAGTGGCCAGGCAGCTGGGCCCTCAGTGCGTGGGCTGGCCCTCGAATGTCAGTTCATGAACCGTGTAGGTATGTCAGGTATGTGGAGACCCCACGCCACAGGCCTGAGCTGCCAGGGTTACAAGTAGGTGTCCTCACTCTCCTGGGACGTCAGGCTCTCCTGGGAATGGTGGTGGGCTGAATCCTGGGAGTGGTGGTGGGCTGAATCCTGGGGAGCTGAGTCCTGCGGGGCTGAGTCCTGGTGGGCTGGATCCTTTGGGGGTACATCCTGTGGGGGACATGCATCTCCTGCAGCAGCTGCCACCTTGGCTTGACTTGGGACTGGGGGCTTGTCCAGCTGCCCACTTGCCTTTGCCTGCTTCCACTGCTCCTTCTCCTTCTGGCTCTGTTTGGGTGGCTTGGGCTTGCCTTTGGAGCCAGGGAGGGGGGCATCCGGGGGCAGGCGGATGGATGGTGAGGGTTGCAGTGTGGGCCGGGGGCCTGGCTCCGCCTCCAGGATGGCCTTGGCACCATGCAGCCTGGGCGGGGAGCAGCACTGCAGCTCACCCCGGGTCTCTTGCCAGCGCCGCAGCTGAATGAGGTGCTCACGTTCAATCTGGCGCTCTGTCACTGGCAACTCTATCACCTGTGTGGGTGGTGACAGGCAGATAAGACCAGGAAGAAACTTCCCCTGTGTCTCCCAGCCTGGTGTCTGTTCTCCCTCAGTGTCCTCCAGTCTTGGTCACTAATGGTTGACCTTAGGAATAATGGGGGTCTGGTTCCTGTGGTGATCACAAGTCCCAAAGCTGAGTGCCAGGTGAGCCAGGCACTTGAGGCCCACTGCCTCTATGGAGAAAGCTGCCCACAACTCATGAGTCCACTTGCCCAACTATACGTCACCAAAGTATAGCCCCTGAGAGACAAAATTGCACAAAAGAAAGAAAAAAGGGAAAATAAAGCCAAGGCCATGGATGTGGTACCAGGGAAAAAGAGAGGTGATGAGTTGCAGCTTCTTTCATTCCAAAGTGGTTCAGAACTTGGGAGGCCCTGCAAACCTAGGCCTCTCTGTGACCCTGTCTTCTCATTGAGACAGGAGGATAAGGTCTACCCATACTATCCTAAGCTGCTGAGCACCAGGCCTGACACCAGTGACTCACCTTCAAGGGCAGAGCTACAAGGCCCCTTCCAAAGGACCCCCATGTCTCCTGCTCCCACCCAGGGGTAAGGGAAGGGTGTGGGTCATACCTCCTGGACCAGGAAGGCCTCCTGCATGATTTTGGGGCTAAGGCTCCGCAGCTGCTCGATAGTCTCATACTGGCCCTGGCAGGCTTTGAGCTTGTCAGGGGAGCCCAATGCATGTTTCAGCAGCACCAGTCCCACACGGAAGATGATCTTGACTCCTGCATGAGGGGGTGGTAAGGGGGCCTGTAAGGAATTTCTCTGGAAATAGAGGCCCCCTTGGGCTGGGTTAGAAGCAGGGGTGCTCCCCTGAGCCCAACCCAGTACCTTCGCAAAAGAACATATCCCAGACGCGCAACACAGAGCTCCAGGGCAGGGTGCGGGCAAAGGCACACATGAACCACTCTGTCATGTACAGCAGTGGGTCGATCTTCTGCCTGCTGAGGTGCTTGTGGGCCACGGGTGACACCTTCTGCAGCAGTGAGAAGAGGATCTCCCCATCCAGTTGGATCGCCTCCTGGGGACACAGCAAGGCCATGGGACCAGGAATGTAGGCTCACAGCAGGCAGGACAGAGACTACGCCCTGGCTCCCAGGGCAGGCATTCATTCATCTCTCAGGCAGCTACTGCCTGTAGGCAGCCAACCTTGTGTTGGGTGCTGGGATACAATGAAGAGCAAACAAGATATAGCTGGTCCCCCTCATGGAGCATGTAGTAAAAAGGGGCAGACAGATGAATTACAGGAGCAAAGAGACTAGCAGCAGGGCATAGGGGGTGGCTAAGTGCCTAGAATATGGCAGGACCAGGAATGCTGGATTAGCATGTGCCAGAAATCCCACCTGTCAGGGTCACAGAAAGCTCCCTAAGGGCTGAAAACTGAAGGAAAGCAGGGGTTATTAAAAGAAGGAAGGGGGTAGAGATTTAAGCCTATGCCAAGGCTGAGGCAGGGAAGAACTTGGTGCACTGGTGGAACTGAGATCCTGACAACAGCCAGACGGCTTGAGCAGGGATGGATGGCAGGGTGGAACCAATGAGTCTGGAGCCTAGAAGACCTGATCGTGTCAGGCCTTGGGTCTTCAGCCTGAAAGCAACAGAAGTCTGGGAAGGTTTTAAGCTGGGGCAAGAGTGGCTGCGGAGAGAAAGGCCTGGAGAGGCTACCAACAGCAGGTCCCAGGCCAGGTCTCCAACCACAAACACTCACCAGT